TGCTAAAAAAAAATCGAAGACTTTGCCAACTACGTCATCCGCAGCACTTTACATAAAGTCCATCATAAGAAACCTTAGACTCCTGGCTGGGGACTGGCTTTCCCGTGAAGAGCGTGGTCTACTTCCTCTTCCCCTGTTGAAAGCGCTGTGACTGTGCAGTGACAGCGAGGTGACTCACGCTGCCCCCTGGTCTTCCTGCCAGGAAACCTGCTACGGCAAATCTGTTAGCCACCATCTTACCACATTTGCATTTTCCTCTTTTCCTTGGCTGGAGTTTTCTGTTTTCATTTTATTAACCTCATTATTGTCTCTTTTGTTAAAGTATTCCAAATTCTTTTGAGAAAGAAGCAGGCTACAAAAATAATCTCATCATTACTAAGTAGATAAAACACAAGTTTCAAAGTAGCCATTGTATGGCAAAATGTAATAGCACAGACTTCAGGTTAGATTTGGCTAAAGCTGTGTGTGAATCCCAGTGCCACCATTCACTAGTGTTGTGACTTTGGGGATTTGGTCATTTAACCTCTCAGCCTCAGTTTACTCCTCTGAAATGTGGGATTAATGATACCTGGGTCATAGGGTTTCTTCAAGGATTAAATGAGGTGCTTAGAAAATTATAAATGTTTGATTAAAAAATGCTAAGGGGTCAATCATTGTAAGGGCTGGCCCAGTGGCATAGTGATTAAGTTTTCGTGCTCTGCTTCAGCAGCCCAGGGTTCGCAGGTTCGGATCCCGGGCTTGGACCTACACACCGCTTATCAAGCCATGCTGTGGCAGGCATCCCACATATAAAGTACAGGAAGATTGGCGAAGATGTTAGCTCAGGGCCAATCTTCCTCAGCAAAAAGAGGAGGATTGGCAGTGGATGTTAGCTCAGGGCTAATCTTCCTCACCAGAAAAAAAAAAAGAAAAAAAATACTAAGGTGTCAATCATTATAATGTGTAGCTCATATCACTTGCAAACATGTAACCACTTCCTCAGTTTTTGTTGGGGGTGCATTGTATTTTCTACTTTTCTGGTACCTTCACACAGCATAGGGAATTGCAAGACCTGGTGTGAGTTCGAGTTGTTCATTCCCACGTCACAAGAAGGAGCTCTTCCTTTTGTGCTGGAACGTGTCTGAACTGCAGGACCAGAAGGGACAGTAACTCCATTCGGGGTAGTATTGTAATTGTTTCCACCTACAGTACATACATTTGGTTCTCCACTATCCATGTCAATGGAGGGAGGGGAAAACGTGAAATAAGCATAAATAAATGATAATCGATGGACTATCACCACCCCTCACACATCCACCTGCTTTTCACTTTCTTCCTTCTTCCTTCCCACGGCCACTGCCCTGGGACAGTCGCCGTCATCTCTTTGTCTGGACCTCTTCAGAGGGCTGGTCTCGGATTTCCGCACTCCAGCTCTCTTCTCCCTCCTCCCTTCCTACAGAATTCTCTCTCGGAAGTAGAGATCTTTCATGTCATTTCCCTGGTTAAAAAAACTTTCCATCCCTGCTGAAATAAAGTCTGCACTGCTTGGCATGACATATAAATAACACCCTGCAAATACTTTCCTAATCTCATCTCCTGCCTTCACACACACACACACACACCAGGGGTTTCTAACATTTTGAACAAGTTTTTTGTATAAAGTTGTTCATAGTATCCTCTTATTTTCTCCCTCCTCCAACTTTTTATTTTGAAAATTCCAAATCTACAGAAGAAAAATGAAAGAATGACCTCACCTAAAATTGACTAATATTTTAACATTTTGCAACATTTGTCCCTCCCCCTGTTATCTTTTTCATTTTGGCTGAAGTGTTGAAAGTTGCAGGCACCGTGAGCCTGCATCCCTGCACACCTCTGCATGTGTCTCCTAAGACGCAGACATCGTCCTGCGTGACCACAGTACCATCATCACGCCTATAAAGTCTAACAATACCCAGGGCCAGCCCAGTGGCGCAGTCGTCGTGTGCTCCACTTCAGCGGCCCAGGGTTCACAGGCCCAGATGCCAGGCACAGACCTACACCACTCATCAAGCCATGCTGTGGTGGCATCCCACATACAAAATAGAGGAAGATGGGCACAGATGTTAGCTCAGGGCCAGTCTTCCTCACATAAATAAATAAATGAATAAATGAAACCTAGCAATTTCTGAATATCATGTTCAGACATATTGAGATTTCCCCAATTTTCCCAGCCGTGTGTCCTCCCCCCATCCAGGATTCATTCAAGGCTCACACATCGTGTCTCTTTAGTCTCTCTTCATATGGAATAGTTTGTTCCCTCACTCCTCCCCCTGTACTTTTTGAAGTGTCCAGGCTAGTTGTCTTTAGCGCACATTATGGATTTGATCATTTTTGTTCATCTAACCTCTGTGTTTCCTATAAACTAGAAATTAGTCCTAGTGGTCTCTGTCTCTCTGTGTCTTGTACAAGGACTGATGCAGATCTCTCCTCCCTTCCTTTTCCTTGGCCCCCTTTAGCAAGAGCGGTCTGATGAGCATGTGGGAAGCCCTGAGTGCCGTAGCCAGCGCTACTTGATCCCTTCATTCTTTCCCTAAATATTTTGGAGCCCCTGCTCTGCAAAGGCACTGTTTTAGGTGCTGGGAAAACTGCGGTGAAGAAACAGGTGGGCAGCCTGCCTCCTCTGCTTGCATTCTGTTGGGGAGCTGATCATAAATAAGCCAACATGGAATGGGATGTCAGTCATAGTAAGAACAGTAAGAGTGTACAGCAAGACGGCTGGGCAGAGGGAGGACGTTTTCAATAGGGTGGTTAGTGAAGACCTGTCTGGGGAGGTACCATTTGTGTAGAGATCTAGAAAAAAGAGAGAGCTAGAGAGAGAGAGAGAACTGGAGAGAGAGGGAGAGAGAGGTGAAGACAGACCTGGAGGAAGCGGTGAGGACCTGGCCGGCGGCCCGGTGCGGGAGTCCCCGGCGTGGGGGGTTCCTGTGTCCCGGTCGCCGGCGTCTGGTCGGGGCGCGCGTCAGTGGGATGGGGGTGGGGGCGGGGTGTGCGGTCGGGGGTACCCTGCAGGGCCCCTATCCGGAGCTCTCTGTGTGCTCAGGAGGCCAGGCTGGGAGGCCTTTTGCAGTACCGTGTTGCCATGTTCCCCCTTTTAGACAGCACCATTTTAATGGCTTATCAGTTAAACAGCTTTTTTGGAGAATGGGAGTCGGGGGTGGGGGCTGGTGAAAAAAGAACCCGCCTGTTTATTTACAGATCAACTCTAAACCCATCTCGCTTATTTACAGATCAACTTTAAAGCCCATCTCCATTTCAGAAACTTGAGCACATGAAAAAAATGTGCTGTTTTGAATCAAAGTACTTGCTTCCCCTTTATTTTGGGAACTACAGCTCGCTAGTTTCAGAAAGAGGTGTGACTGCCCTTTAGAGGCTTGTACTTCAACTAATGAAATGATAAACAAGTGGAAGGTCGCAGACTCACTGGAGGCCTGAGGAGCGAAACCGTGCGGCGTGGGTGACAGTTTAGAGACAAGCTCTTGAGATGTCTTGGAACAGTTCCTCTTCAGGACGTTTTCCCTAATTCCTACCACCCCCCTTCCCCAAGCTCTAAATCATCTCTCCTTCCTCTAAAGGTCCAGGCAGTGGTCCCCAAATAGCGGTGCTTCAGAATGACACAGATCATATGGGACTGCCTTGCCCTCACTGGGCCCCTAGAGAATTTCCTGGAATGTGTCCAGGGAATCTGTTCTGTTGAGTCTGGATGATTCTGGTGTTCCTTCAGGTGTGGGAGCCACTGCTCTACAGGGCCTTCTAATGGAGCTCATAACAGATTTTGCTTTGTTTTTAGTGTGTAGATTTGACCGTGAGGCTATACTGTAAGGCAAGATTCATAACTGATTTCAATTTTTAAAATCATCTTTTTAGCCCCAGCGTGCTTTGTGTGGTGCTCTGCACATCCTAGTATTAGCTGAATGAGCGAATCAAAGAGTTTAGCCTTTAGAAGCAGGGTTATGTCATTCTGCACTGGTGAAGCATAAGCCCCTTCTGTCCACGTTCTGCCTCCGAAATCTTACGCACAGTCGTGGAGTGTGATGCCATCATTTGTGTCTCTGGCTCCGCCATCTCTCCTGGTTTCCACACTCACTTGTCTTACTGGGAAGCCTATTGGATTTGATCATTTGGATGTTCCTACAAGCATCTTTTCTCCCATTCCTGGGTCTTCTCTTTTATTTCCAGCCTTGGTGAAGGCCACCACCATTTTCCCAGGCCTAGAGCCACACTCACCTGGAGCAGCCTTCTATGCATTCTAGCTCTCAGTCATGCTTGCCTTTGACTCCTTGAGCCCCTTCGCTTTGCCTTGCACATTGTGTCATTTGTCTTTGGGGTAAAAAAATAAACAACTCCTGAGCATTCGCCCAAGGTTTACCTCCCCCTCCAGCCCCACTCCTGGCCTTCCCTACTTGCTCCCTGACTAAAGGGTTTCACATTGTAGAAGTGGTTCCCTGAAGGGATCCGCTTGAACTAGTTCTCTGAAGGAGTGAGATTGACTAGTTGCCTGAAGGGGCCATGTTCTCTCAGGGTCAGTACTTTGCGTGTGAAGTTCCTTCTCCCTGGAATCCCCTCACTGACTTTACCACCTGGCTGACATCCCTCCCAGGTTGACTCACAGAGCGTTTCCTTCAGGACACTTCCCCTGACCACTTCCTTTTCCTCTTGTCTGAGTTAGATGTCCTTTCCTAGGTCCTCTGCATCCTCTGTCATTGACTGGTCACATTGTACTGTAATTTTAATTCACACATATTTGCCACAAGAAGATGAGCATCTTTAGAGCAGGAATTATGTCTTGCTGACATAAAATTGATGCTCAATAAATAGTTGTTGAATGAATGAATGAACAAGCAAACTGGTTTGTGAACAGTATCCACATTTGAGTGTGTTAAACTATCTACGATAAAGAATAAAAGTACGTTCTTTTTACTCTTCGTTAATGGAGGGATTTTTGGTGGCTTGAAGCCAGTTCTCAAATGGTAAAACAATGTCATTGCTTTTATATTCCAACAGGAAATATGGGATGTATAAAATCAAAAAGGAAAGACAATCTGAATGACGATGGAATAGATTTGAAGACTCAACCAGTACGTAATACTGACCGAACTATTTATGTGAGAGATCCAACGTCCAATAAACAGCAAAGGCCAGTAAGTAGATAGTCTCAGGGGAGAATTCCCACAGCAGGATCAAAGCATGGCTGCGTAATTTAAACACCAAATCTGTAACATGTGCATGCAAAAAATCACGTCAATTACTTGGGCCTCAATTTTTGATATGCTTCGTAACTCAATCCTTTAAAGAGCTTGTAAATTTTAGGGATAACCAGGCCACTTATTGTCCATTAAAGGGGCCTTTGGTCACCTTCTTATGTGTGGAGAAAAATCATCTTTCATATTACTGGAGCAAAGACCCACTCTTTATATATAAAGATCTACCTATCTAGCCGAGTTTGTGTGAATTAGGACAGGTCGTGAGATTAGTGCAGTGCTCTGGAAGCAGAAGGGAATGCTGGATTCAAGTCAGAGCTAAAATAAGTAATAGCTAATATGTCCTTTGGCATATCATACTTTATCGCATCTTTTCATTCTTCAATTCAGAATAGTACAGATACTGAAGTTGTCGTGACTTATTGTAGAGAATTAGAAGATTAAGAAAAAACATAGCTAAAAAACTGTGCCCTAACCTTGGACACATATCTGTACCAGAAATTTTATATGAATGATGTGCCATTTGATGCATTTTGGAAATACTTGGCAAAGGAGGAACTATTATCACATTTCATGGAAAAGAGGAGCAGACTTTGGATAATTACAACCTTAAGTGCACTTTATTTCAGATCTTCTATCCTTTCCATATATTCTCTCACTATCTTATACTATATATATATATATATATATATATATATATATATATCTTCCCATAGCCTGGTTTTTCTGGAATTCCTCATCATTTAAGCTGGAAACAACTTATTCCAGGTTAGCCCAAATGCCTTTAGTAAGAGTTTTCAGAGTTTCTCTAGTCTGACATGTTTTCAAATGCCTTGGCCTTCTAGAAGTGTGTTCTGTTACCAAGCCCTTCTGCCAGCCCTCTCCCCCACTGTCCCCATTATCCTGCAGGTATGATGTATGTCAGAGTCTCATGTCATTGAAATTGATAAGTCACCATTGGCCTTCTTACAAAGAAGTGGAAATGAAGAGTGAATACATTATGCTGTTAATTATCAGACATGATATTTCTAGATAGGTAAATTAACATAGTAATTTTGTTTATGGAAACTCAAAATGTATATTGTTAATAGCTTTAATAATTTAGTGATAATAAATACATATAATATTTAAAAACACATTATATAAATAGGTATAGATGTAGAATTATATTATATAAATATTATTAATAGAAAATAAAATGATGTAAGGAATTGGAGTCACAAATAGTTTTCTTATAATAGACTTCAAAGATCTCATAAAAAGTTTCTGGCTTTTCCTGGTATCACATATTCGATTTTATATGCTTTAAAACCCAAGTTTGTTTGTTTTTTTTTTAAATGATGAACAAAGATGTCCTTTATTTAGAAAAGCAAAGGAAAATAGTACAGACTTACACACCGTTTTTCCTCTTATTAAGAGTAAAAGAGGTTAAAAATTAAATTAGAAAGCAGAAGTAATCAATGTGTTTGAAATCTTTCCATTCCCTCCTGTGTACCGTTAAGTGTGTTAGTCTGTGCCTTTTGTGGGCACCGGTGATCCTGTTTCCTGAGCCGGTTAGTTTGGCTTTATTCCATGGCCATAGGTAACAGTCTCCTCTCTGGCCAGATGTGCCAAAATGCACACCCTGCATTGATTACAGAGGGGTCTGATGAGACAGTGAGGCCGAACTGATGCAAATTCAACAACACTCTAAGGAAAAGACAGTGTAAAGAAAAAGAGTTATGGTAGCTGAAATGCACATATTTGTTTTGGTCTTATAAAAAGTGTATTAAAACATTTGTAAATTAAGGACCTTTGATATTTGAAAATCAGCTTGCTGCTTTCAAAATGATTTAATTGGTTTCTCATCTTCTAATTATTTCCTCTAAATCATTTAAAATTGAGCATACATCCTAATTATGCAAATCTAAATGATTTAAAAAATCAGTATAAAACTTCTTGAAGTAAGTATTGAAGGATAACACGGACGCATAATTTTCTGATGCCAGAAAATATAGTAATCTCCCTCCACCAACCTCACAATTAGAGATTTTATGGGCTGACTTTCATCAGAAATTTAAATTTCAGTACAAACTGTTTTGGTCCCATTCCATTAAATCACTTCAATCAAAGAGAAAAGTTTCAGGATTTGTGGGTATAGGCCTCTGGCAGGACCTTCCTTAAAAGGGGCCCAAGAGGTCTTATATATCCTCCCCATGGTCACTAAGAGAAAAAGGAATTTGATTTAGAAGTTAAATGAGGTGGCCTTTGTGCCACCAGACCCTTCCTGATAATTCACCTCCCAACTAAAAGAACAAGGGATGCCATCTGTCCCCATGCCGGCGTCAGGGTCAGCCATAGAAAGCCTAGATTGGTTAAGACTTGTTCTCAGCTGCTAGTGACAGAGTCCCGACTACAGTTCTTAAAATAAGTCTGGGAAATGTGGAGATCAGCAGTTCTGGACCGGGGTGGCAATTCCACAAAGTCACCAGGGCCTCAGACCACTTGCATCTTTTGCTCTACTGTCCCCGGTGTCTGGTTTCCATGGCTCCTGAGCCTCCAGCCTTCACCTGTTTCTAGACAGAAAGAAGAGGGCAAGGGAAAAGGAGAGCCGGCCCCAGAGCCCACACAACTGTTTTGCTTATAGATACACTCCCTGCCCCCATCTGTATAGAATGCTAGAGAATCTGGAAGCATAGTCATTTAGCTTGGCAAGTTGCCACCCCAAATAATATTAGGGTTCTGTTATCAAAGCAGAGGGAGAATGATGATTGGGTAAGCCTCTAGCAGCCCGTGCCTAGAGCCCTGTTCATTTCCTGCCACTGCAAGCAAATGACCCTTTTGAAGGAAGAGCCATTTCACTGAGCTATGAAGGCCGAGACTGGCTTACAGAATCTTTTCTCTGTATGCCTCTTATTTCTGGCTTGATAAATTAGCAAATCTGAACCTCATTTGCTACTGTTACAAAAATGATATAACCTACAACATGAATGTGAGTAAGAAAAGCTAAACATAAAATTTTTTTATAACAAATATTCTCTCCTAGGTTTCAGAGTCTCAGCTTTTACCAGGACAGAGGTTTCAAACTAAAGGTATGTTTTCATAGCAACGTGGTAGTTTCTTTTCTTTATTGTTAGAGACTCTATAAAGTAGTTGCCCTGGGTGTTTTTATTTATTTGATTATTGTGGAAAAATACACATAACATAAAATTTACCATTTTAACTGTTTGTTTTTTTGTGAGGAAGATCAGCCCTGAGCTAACATCTGCCAATCCTCCTCTTTTTTTTTTTTTTTTTGCTGAGGAAGACTGGCCCTGGGCTAACATCCATGCCCCTCTTCCTCCACTTTATATGGGACACCGCCACAGCGTGGCTTGACAAGCAGTGTGTCGGTGCGCGCCCAGGATCCGAACCGGCGAACCCCGGGCCGCCTCAGCGGAGCACGTGCACTTAACTGCTTGTGCCACCGGGCAGGCCCCTATTTTAACCATATTTAAATGTACAGTTCAGTGGCATTAAGCACATTCACATTATTGTGCAACCATCACCCCCATCCATCACCAGAACTTTTTCATCTTCCCAAACTGAAACTCTGTCTCCATTAAACACTAACTCCCATCCCTCTCCCCAAGCCCCTGGCACCACCATTCTACTTCCCGGCTCTATGAGTTTGACTACTCTAGGAACCTCATATAAGTGGAATCATAAAATATTTGTCCTTTTGTGTCTGACTTATTTCACTTAGCATAATGTCTTTATGGTTCATCCATGTTGTAGCATGTGTTAGAATTTCTTTCCTTTTTAAGGCTGAATAATATTCTATTCCATGTATCTACCACCTTTTCTTTATCCATTCATTTGTCACTAGACACTGGGTTGTTTCCACCTTTTGGCTATTGTCAATAATGCTGCTATGAACATGGGTGTATCATTTCTTAAATATAAAGTTGGAACTAATATAGCTGTAGGTCTGTGTGATTTGAGATAACAAACACTGTACTCGGTGTGTACGGCGTGTTACTGTCTGTGGACCATGGTAGGCCCTGAGCCCCACTAGGGAGGAAGCACATGTCGTTCTTTCCAGTTGCCCCACTCTCCAGCCCATCATCTCATTGTTTTGGGCCTGATGAGGATGTGTTAAAAGGTTTCTGCTGATGGGTTCTTAAAGGTCTTTGCTTGCGTTCTTCATTTTTAGATCCAGAGGAGCAGGGAGACATTGTGGTAGCCTTGTACCCCTATGATGGCATCCACCCGGACGACTTGTCTTTCAAGAAGGGAGAGAAGATGAAAGTCCTGGAGGAGTAAGTGCACCGAGCGCACTGGGCCTGCTGCTCCTTCCCTCAGGCGCTGAGGCCGGCACACTGTCCCCCTCATTTTGCTTCCAGTAGCACAGTGATAGCCAGACCCCCCTCTTGTGGTGGGCATGTGGCCCCAGCCTCCTTGCTGCCAGGAGGGCTTTAGGAGTGAAAGGAGTAGGGCCGAAGGAATTTTCTCTTAGATTTGGCTGTGAGCACTCTCCAGGAGGTTTCCCTTTGAAGACAGACACGAGTTTCTGTCTTTATCTGTCTCTGCCACCTTAAGAAGTTCAGGTCTGTGTGGAATTTGCATATTATTTTAAATGCCATTTTTATTTTGTTATATTACTCAATTTCAGACTGGGTTTATGGGCCCAACTTGGTTTGATTTATAAGGACCCTGTGCTGAAGCAGCAGTCATCTTGGAAAAGCCCTTGCTCAGCAGTGTGGCACTTCTGTGACACTTCTGTGAAGACACTGGAACATCCTCGTTTCCTGACCCCTGCATGCTGACTCACAGACCTGTGACCCTAGGGGCTCAGGACAGTACCGAGAATAAGGAACTCCAAGTGTCTTAGTTCTAGCTTGCTTTCCCTACTAATCTCACATGCATTGTCACCCTGGCCTGTCAACAAGGGTTAGAGGAGGGAGACCCCTTATTAAGTTTAAGGCGTTAAGTGGTTGAGAGCAGTTGTCACTTACTGGCTTACTGGTTGACCGTGAACTTGGGCCTAATTCTGGCCCTGCCACTTGATAGCTGTGTGACCTTGACAAGTCACTTCAACTCTGTACCTTAGTTTCTTTGCTTATAAAATGGGAACAACAATACATGTCATGGGGTTGACATGAGGATTACATGTGTATGCATACAGACAAGGATCCCATCTGCATGTGAGAATTTGGCGGGGAACATAGTTGAGGTTCGTAGGGCCCATCCATTCCTGCCTCCTTCACTGGCCCTAGCCTCCTCCTGGCTCCATGCTGAGGGCAAGAACGTGGTGATGAGGCCTACCTGCTTGGAATTATTTTATGGTTTTCTATTTCTTTTTTCCATGGTGTCCATCTATGGAAACTAGATGTTTTAACAAAGGCGTTTATAACACGGGAATTTTGGATCATTATTCCCTTGGCTCCCATTTATATCAGGACCCTAAGGCATGTCTTAGATAACCTGGGGGAAGTTACAAACATTTTGCTTCTGCAAGGTGGGAGCCATTTTCACCAACTCTTGTTTGTGTAGCCCTGAGCACAGTGACCCACATTTCAGTTGTGAGGCTGTTTTCCTTTGCTTCAGGCTCTAAACATATTTTTGTTTCAGCAAGGGGAGTGAATTTTCCCACTGGATTCTGGGTTCCAGGGATCTTCCCCACCCTCCCCCTCACAAAAAAACCAAACATCTTAAGACAATTGCTATTGTATTTCTTGAGTCATTGGACACAAACACTTTCTGATGTGTGTTTCTGTTCCAGGCATGGAGAATGGTGGAGAGCCAAGTCCCTTTCCACAAAGAGAGAAGGCTTCATCCCTAGCAACTACGTCGCCAAAGTCAACACTTTGGAAACAGAAGAGTGAGTCCTTGCATGTTGTCATCTTGATGGTTTTCTTTGCTGCATTGAATTTCTTGTTCATTTTTATCTTTTCCTTCCCTGGAGCATAACACCCGTGAAATGTTACAATGTCTCCTCAGGTGGTTTTTCAAGGATATAACCAGGAAAGACGCAGAGAGGCAGCTGCTGGCACCCGGGAACAGTGCTGGAGCTTTTCTCATCAGAGAAAGTGAAACATTAAAAGGTAAGAAGTGGAGGCCGGCCTGGTGGCGTAGTGGTTAGAGATCCGCATGCTCTGCTTTGGTGGCCTGGGGTTCGCGGGTTCGGATGCCAGGCACGGACATATACCACTCATCAAGCCATGCTGTGGTGGTGACCAACATACAAATTAGAGGAAGATTGGCACAGATGTTAGCTCAGGGCTAATCTTCCTCACCAAAAAAAAAGGTAGGAAGTGGCTGAAGGCCTCTTATAAAACAATTTAGGAAATCATTCTTAGAAACTGTTCTAGAATTCTTTTTAAAAAGGTATATTACGTTCTGGTAGTGGAAGTTTTATAGTTTGATAACAAATAACAAACTCAAATTATTAGGTTTGCTACTGAAAGTAACGTAGAAAGCAAAATAATTATGGTGATTTCTTACCACGCTTTATGTTTCCTGAGCCTCTTACATTATTGTTTACAGTAAATCTTGAAATTTTAAGAGAATGAAAATCAGAATAACCTTTCAATTCAGCGAAAAATAAAAAAGCTATCATGAAGAAGGAAAATGGCATGTTGTAAGCTTCATAGCAAACAAATGCTAGCTTCATTTGTCAAGTAGACTTTTTATAGGACTTTTAAAATTATACACTATATACATAATTTATGTTTTACATATTTTTATGGCAAAACGTGTACCACACCGTTGTGTAATACAGATCTTATTTATAAAATATAAGTGTAATCTTGCTCTTGTTCCCTTACAGGAAGTTTCTCTCTGTCTGTCAGAGACTATGACCCTGTGCACGGTGATGTCATTAAGCACTACAAAATTAGGAGTCTGGACAATGGCGGTTATTACATCTCTCCACGAATTACTTTTGCCTGTATCAGTGACATGATTAAGCATTACCAAAGTAAGTAAAAACTGAAGGTCCGACAAGACAAAATATGTTTATTATGGTAAGTATATGGTGTCAGACACTCTTATATTAAAATTTTTATGCATCATATTTCTTTGTATAAAGTTGGAGGATCATCTTCTAGAATTGATTCTAAATTAATCTACAATTAAATATACATTCAAAGTTAGATTTAATCTTTGTGAATAATTATCTCAGTCTTTCCTACCTAGTCCATGCTGTTTGACAGTTAGTGTTCCAAAATTATGAAGAGAAAAATGAATGTTATTTTTGCATAGTGTGTGTTTTTACAACTTATCTTTATCTGGAATAGGAATGCAGATTTGCAGATCTGTGTCTTTGTGTATATGTGTATGTATTTGTAAAAGAAATACATACTCTTGGTAAAAAAAAACGGAAATAACAACAAAATATTTAGAAGTGGCAAGTCAGTGGTCCTCCGTCTCTAATGCGCTCTCAAGCCGTGTTAAGCTGTACCTGTGACCAGCCTTTAAGTTCATTCCCAGTGTGAATGAACCAAAGTCAGTCGTAGTGGGCAGCTGTTGTTACTGCTTATTTCTACAACCTGCTCTAAGGAATACACATTATAAAATTTGCTTAGGTCTCAAAATATGGAGAGAGCAAGGTACACCAGATTTTGTAGAATCCTCCCTCCCTCCCTCCATCATCCCCATTCATTTATTTGTCTGGCATACGTGTTGAGTGCTGGTGGCGCTCTGGCCCTGTTCTGGGGCCAGGAGCCCCCTGGTGACATGGCCAAGGCCCCACCGTTGTGCCCTGAGGCACTTATCGTGGGCTCAGTAATCTGAAACTACATTTTATGAAGTATGACAACCTGTCAGCCTTTGTTTATCTGTTGTTTGTTGTTTTTGTTTTTATAGGTTAACAGTATTAATGAATAAAATCAAGTATGTCTTAAATTATCTTTCATTTAAGAATTTCAAAAGTCATGATCACGCAAAAGATACCCCATAAGCATTTTAGGTTCGTAGACTTTGACAAGTTGGAAATTATAAGACTGGTAGTCGAAACTTCTCTATAAATACTGGTAAAATACCAAGCATGACATTTCTTAACCTTTATTTTCTCTTTGAAATTAGAACAGTCCGACGGCCTATGCAGGAGACTGGAGAAGGCGTGTATCAGTCCCAAACCGCAGAAGCCGTGGGATAAAGATGCCTGGGAGATCCCGCGGGAGTCCATCAAGCTGGTGAAGAGGCTCGGTGCTGGGCAGTTCGGGGAAGTCTGGATGGGTGAGTGTGTGGCTCTGGAGCCCAAGTCCACTCTGGGGGGCTAACAGGAGAAGTAAGGGCTCCAGCTAATTTCTGTCACTTTTCTCAGCCAAACACTAAACTGTGTCAGAAGCATCACTTCTTTTGCTTTTCTCTGTCCACCTTATGCCAAGAACTGGCCTGCAGAATTATTTGATAAGACTCTTCTTCTTCATTGTGACTTAGTAATTCTCTTTCAGAGTGAACGTTTATAAGGAGGAGGGCAGTGGGTATTTATCCTGATTGTTCTGTCTGCTCTTTCGTGATTCTCTCATCATCAGATTCTCTGGACATGCAATTGAAGTGCAGGAACCTTGCTTCCATCTCAGGGAAAGCTACACTTGGGTTTAGGACCATCCTTACTAGTGGGCTTCATAGGGAGCCTCACAGTTATTGCAATTTCACACCAGGAAGGTTTCTAAAGATGTTCAAAGTGCTGTCATTAATGAGTCCCTCCTTATCATTACCTGCTGCCTTCTCAGGCTGGCAAGAGGTGACCAAAATTATAGCAGTGGCTTTCTCCAGAGGATTCTTTTTGCCCATGAGTCTTTTCTCAAGTTTTTATAGTGAATGTGAATTTCTTTTACTTTTGCAATAAGAATAAAAAAATTTTTTTTTACAGAGCATCGTGTTCTCTTCATGGTTCTAATTGAAAACGCAGTTTTCTGGAAATTTCTGGAAAAGATAATGCGTTAGGTCATATACACTTTACTGGATCACTTTTTCTATGCCAGCTTTGTGTGAGTGAGAGCAAACGTGATTTCTGAAGAGAAGAAGGGGTAGACAGATTTCAAACACTGTCCAGCCCCTGCCCAGAGGAAACTAAGACTCTTGCAGCCTGTGGCAGCCATGTGTCATTTCCCTTCCCCACCCAGCAGTCTGTGAGGGAGAGGTTTGTCCTCTAAAATCTTGGCCCCTCAGATCACAGCTTTGCCCACGTTCTCCTGTTGTTGCTGCTGTAGCCCAAGTGTCTTTTAAATATGGCAGATACTGATCCAGCATGTAATTAATTCTTATCGCACGTAAGTCTTTGTGAACATATTTACAGAATTTGGGTAAATTATAATTACATAACCTCATGTTCTTCATTGTGGTTGGAGTATTTCAGAGCCAGTCGGCAGTGCGTATCAGGCATTCTGTTTCCATTCCAGTCAGCAGATTTGTGGGTGCGAGCGCTTCCTCTAGATGTGGTCTCCTCTCATTCGCACTCTGTGCCTAGGTCATAATATTGCCCCCTCCTTTCTTTGTCTGCTCTTTCCTTTTTTTTTTTTTTGTGAGATCAGCCCTGTGCTAAGATCTGTCAATCCTCTTTTTTTTGCTGAGGAAGACTGGCCCTGGGCTAACATCGTGCCTGTCTTCCTCCACTTTATATGGGACGCCACCACAGCATGGCTTGCCAAGCAGTGCGTCGGTGCGCACCCGGGATCCGAACTGGTGAACCCCGGGCCGCCGCAGCGGAGCATGCACACTTAACCGCTTGCGCCACCGGGCCAGCCCCCTCTTTCTTTCTTTTTTATTGAGGTAAAATTCACGTAACATAAAATCAGTCATTTTAAAGTGAACAATTCAATGACATTTACTACGTTCAGATTCTTGTGCAACCACCACCTCTAACTAGTTCCAAGATATTTTCATCACCCCAAAAGGAAACACTGTACCCATTAAGCAGTCATTTCTCACTCCCTCAGTAGAACGGCAACCACCATTCTACTTTCTGTCTCTATGAATTTGACTACTCTAGGTAACTCATGTAAGTGGAATCATATATTATTTGTCCTTTTGGGACTGGCTTATTTCACTTAGCATGTCCTCAAGGTTCACCCATGTTTTACCAGGTGTCAGAATTTCATTCTTTTTTATGGCCAAATAATATTCTGTTGTATGGATATACCACAGTTTGTTTATCAATTTATCTGTTGATGGACATTTGGGTTGTTTTCACCTTTTGGATATTATGAGTCATGCTGCTATGAACTTTCATGTACAAATTATTGTGTGGACAAATGTTTTCCTTTCTCTTGGGTACATACATTCTTTTAGGAGTGGAATTGCTGGGTAATGTGGTAATTCTATGTTTAACTCTTTGAGGCGCCATCAAGCTGTTATCTGCTCATTTTAAAAAAACATGCCACCTTCCTTTTTTCCCCTGAGGTATTTGTATGTATTTCTTAATATATATATTTTTCAGATCCACAGAATAGGGACAGGAATAGTGTAATAAACATTGTATACCCTTCACCTAGATTCACCAGTTAATATTTTGCTATATTTGCTTTATCTCTTTTATACATATACACACACGTATACATACATATTTTATTGTTGTTGTTGTTGTTTTTGAACCACTTGAGAGTAAGGTGCAGACGTGATGACTCTTCACCCAAAGATCACATTCAGGAAATTTAACATTGATACATACTACTATCTAGTGTAGAGTCTATATTCGAATTTCCTTAATTGCCCAATAATGTCCTTGTCGCTATCTAGGATCATGTATTTGCCTTGAGATGACATGCCTTTAGTCTCCTTTAATCTAGAACGGTCCCTTGGCCCATCTTCATCTTTCACGACACTGACATTTTGTAGAATACAGGTCGGTTGTTTTGTAGAACGTCCCTCATTTGGATTTTTCTGATGTTTCCTGTGATTTGGCTCGGGTTATGTCTTTGTGCCTGAGTAGTATCTAAATAGTAAGTGATGCTGTGTCCTCAGTGCCTCCATCAGGAGGCAGAGAATATTAGGTGGTCCCATTTTTGCTGATGTTCTGTTTGATTTTAAGGAGGTCCACCAGATTTCTGCATTGTAAATGTTACTTTTTAATTCCCTTTTGTAATTAATTAATAATCTGTGGAAAGATTCTTTAAGATTGTGTAAATATCCTGCACTCTAAAAGAACTTTCCCCAAAGGGTTTCAGCATTATCTGCTCATTTTGAGTTGTCTTCCATCTTGGAAGCCATAACTTCTCTAAAGAGCTGCAGTCATCCTCGCCTTCCTCCCACACTCCCCTAAACATGTCTTCTCCAACCCCGCTGGCTCATTTCCGTAACCAGGGTCTCTGCCTTCTCTCCCTGGCGGCGGCTTTCCAGCCTTGTCTCTTCATTGAGAGTATTGGCAGGAGAATACGTGTTCACGATTACATTTAATTGTCCTCTGGGTCGCTGAGTCCATCTGAGTGCTCTTTCCTCTCCATATTTACCATGACTTTGAGTGAGGGGGAGATGACAAGGTGTGGAAGGGGAGGAAGAAGAATGGGAGGAGGGGAGAAAAGAATGTCCCAGCTGTACAGTGTCCACTGCCCCCTTTCAGGTACACTTTCATTGATTATCTCACATGCTTATCCCAATAACACTGTAAGATAGGAATTATTGCCATCATTTGATAAGTGAGGACACTAAGAATCAGATAAGCAACTTGCCCAAAGTCATTGAAGGCAGTGAGGAAGCCAGCTGCTCTGGCATCCCATAGACCTGGACTCGCTTGCTAAGCTGTCTATAAGTTAATTTGACCTCCCTATCCTCAGTTTCCTCAGCAGTAAAATGGGCAAACAACGATCTCATCAGTTGGTAAAAGAAAGAATGAGATTATGCACCTGAAGTGTTTCCTCTAGAGTCTGGCTCTGTGTGCTCTGTTTTTATTATTATTTTCATTTTACTGTATTTGACTATAGTCACTGGAAGCTATATTTCAATGGATTTTCCCCAATTTTAATCATGAATTCAAGCTATAAATACTCCAGTTAGACCATCCTATGGATATTTGCTGGCAAAGGAATTGCATATCTGTCATGAAGAAAAAGGTAGAGGGAGCTTAACTGGGACGTACTCCTCTGCTCTAAAACAGTAGCCCTGCAAATGAAGTGATGGTTTGGAATTTTGTTCCAACCTTCTTGTGTTCAGCTGTGAAACCAGGATAAAGGCATCGAACTGCATGCTATTTGCATCCAAGAGAGAAGAAATAAGACCTATTGGTCTGGGAAGTTATCACTTTGAGGGGGAAGAGATTATGATAGTCCTCTTGTGTTTTCTTAAAATTTTCTTGAGGCCTACCAGCAAGTAGAATGGTAAGCTCTTCACCAGCTCCATGACGGTGGTGCTCACAGCTGCCATTTGCCCGCGCAGCTTGTCCATTCCAAAGAAACTGCCGAGGCTGTGAGCTAGCGGGAAGTCAAGAGCAAGGTCGCAGCGGGGCGCAAGCCTGAGTAGACCTGCCCACAGCGCAGTTCTGTCATGAGCGGCTCAACCCTGCGCTCAAGCCTTGTCACCTGGAGCTCAAGCACACTGGTCCTTTCCGGGATGGAGAAAACCTCTTTGCTTCCAATTCCAGATATACTAAACCCTCCTGCCCATTCCTCGCCCTGTCCCGTTCATGGGCTTCCACTGGGCTGTGTGCTAAATGTTCAGACTTTGATTCTAGAGAACTTTCATTTAGCATGTACCCAGGTGGTGCCTGGGAGAAACTGAGGTTTAAGGGACGAGAATGGGGCATAGGAAAGTATGTAATTGTTCTATGTTTATAACATAAAATTTACCATCTTAACTGTTTTTAAAGGTACAGTTCAGTACTGTTAAGAACAATCACATTCATGAGAACTCTTTTTCATCTTGCAAAACTGGGCCTCTTTATAAACAACTCCCCTCTCCCGCCTCCTCCCAGCCCCTGTCAACCACCATTCTACTTTCTGTCTCTAAGATTGTGACTGCTCTAGGTACCTCAAATAACTAGAATCATACAGTATTTGTCTTTTTGTGACTGGCTTATTTCACTTAGCATAATGTCCTCAAGGTTCATCCATGTTGTAGCATGTGTCAGAATTTTATTCCTTTTTAAAGTTGAATAATATTGCACTGTATGTATATACCATATTTTGTTTATCCATTCATCCGTCCAAGGACACTTGGATTGCTTCCACCTTTTGACGACTGTGAATAATGCTTCTGTGAACATGGTGCACAAATATCTCTTTGAGATTCTGTTTCCAAATATTTTGGGTATAAAATTATATCACCATTAATCAAGTAAGTTAATATTTTTGTGAAGCATGAGAAATGGTTCATAGACTACCAGTCACATTTTATGGTCTGAATTTTTTGGTCTGAAATACAGTGAACAAATACTAGGAAGTGACCTGTTCTGAGGGCAGAGATAAAAGGAAGAGGAGTCTCTCCCTCAAGCTGTTTCCTCTTGTTCATGTGATCCTCTTGACATCTGGCTTGGTGACACGTTTTCCTCTGTGGATTGTTGGATTTCAAGCGAGATGACTGATCAGTGAAGCTAAGGATGATGTTTCCTGTTACCACTTGGCCTATGAAGAGACTTTGTGGAAGAAAGGAAACTTATTTTGAATTGAATAATTTTCATTGAGCCAACTGCATTAAAATTAATCACCAGCCAACTTCCAAAATCAACTACATGCATCTTTTTTTAAGACCACCCTCCATTTTGAGATACTTAGGCACTTTTTAGCAAGTTAATCACCCCTGTAAATGGAGCTTTCTCCAATTGTCACACCAGTTTTCTTTAACTGTGGCAAAGTGACACTCCACGAGAAATTCTTTACTACCTTCAAAAGATTTTTTTTTAAATCGTTTTCCATCTGTAATGCCAACCCAAATCTCCATGACTGGAGTAATTGGACCTGCACACTACTGGGGAATATCTTGGTAAAGTACAATTTGATCCTTAGTGCTAAATAAAAATCATGCTTTTAGTGCAAGGTGGAAACCTACCCTATTGTTTAAATGCCACAGCCCTAAGAGACCGCTTACTGGAAGCTGCTGCCGTTCTCGAGCTGTGTTTGACACAGCTGCTTTACTCACTGTCCATCTTATCTCTTTATCAGCATTTTTAATATCTTTAGCAGCTGTAATATTTCCTGATGACTTTTCCCCCTGCCCTTGGAAAGCATTTTTTTCTTCATCCTTTACCCATAATTTTATATTATGTAAAAGTCTTGATGAGTTCCGTTGCTTTTATGATGACAAGGGGAGAATAGTTTTGTTTCTTTCACTTTTATTACTGTGTAATATAACAGCAGACAGAAAAATGCATACAACTCAGATATTCAATACCACAAATAATTACACAATGCAAACCTCTGTGGTGACCACACGAGATCACACACTGGAAACTTGCCAGCAACTTGGGGACTTATCCCCTCCCAACCACAACCCCACCTGCCCCCAGAGGCAGCTGCAATTCTAAGTTTTGTGATAATTTCCTGGCTTTTCTTTATAGTTCTACTACTTTTGTTATGCCCACATTTTTGGGTATAGCTACAGTTCATTCTTCTTCATTGCTACATAGTATTGTGTCGTGTGTGTATTTAAGATGTACAACAGTTTATCCATTGATTTCACTATTTATTGAAGGAATTGTTGTTCGCAGGCTTTGGCTACTATGAACAATGCTGCTATGAACACTTTTGTGCTGTGTCCTTGCTGTTGCAAGGGTACATGGGTTTTTCTAGTGGATTTGCTGGCTCACAGGAGTATGAACCTCCAATTCTTCTAAATACTGCTAACTTGGTTTCCAAAGTGTGTGTCCCAGTTTAGACTCTCACCAGCAATGTACAAGAGTTCTCAGTGTTCCATTTCCTGACCAACAGAGTTGCACCTAGAAGGATGTGGACCCCGGGTCCGCACAGCCTCTGTGTGTGTGTGCACGCGTGTGGGCATGTGTGTGTGTGGTCACTCAAGATAACTGCACTTGAAAGGAGGCTGTGCTGTCAGCATCCTTTATGGGCCCCTGGGAATATTGTTAAAGACAGAAGCTTTACAACGGAATTTCAGTGATGCTCGGAAAAGAGCACAGAAAAGGGCCCTGGGAGCTGCCCTACTTTCCTTACCAAGGAGTGTGTGTACCAAGGGGCATGTGCTCACCAGCACTTGATGTTGTCAGACTTTGTAATTTTTGTCAGCCTGGGAGGTGCTTGCTCCCTATGGCTGTGTTTGCATTTCTTTTATTACTAATAAGATTGAGTTCCTTTCGCGTATTTGTTCGTCATTTGGGTTTCTTCTTTTTGAAATGCCCATCCAAGCCTTTGCTTATTTTTCTACTTTTCTTATTGATTTGTAGAAATTCTTTATATATTCTGGACTCTAGTCCTTTGTCGGTTACATGTATCAAAGAGAGTGTATTTTCTTAGTCTACTTTGCCACAGATATATTCATGTAATTGAGGACCTATTTATAAACTTTTAAACAAATGGAATCTTCTTGATTCAAATGTAATATTAAAGGACTTTTGTTTGTGGAATTTACTTTATATTTACTCTTAAGAGCCATAGGACAGGTCATATTGATTGTAATTATCCATTTAGATGGAAAATACATTTTAAATACATATAAAAGGAAAAGTGTTAACAGAGAAATCAGTGTTAATGATCAGAAGAAAAATTAGTAACTAGGAGTGGATGTTAGCTGTAAACTAATACTTTTTCTTGCCCATTTGAAGTTGTAGAAATAGAAACATAATTTATTTTCTTTTAAAAAATAATTCCTTTTGTAAAAAAAAGATCCATACTCATTTCACAAATTTAATCAAAATAGAAAAGAACAAAAGAAAGGAAAAGTCACCCCAAATTCTACCACCCACAGATCATCATTGTTGATGTTTTACTGAGCATCTTCCAGTCATCTCTCTATACTGTACATATACAGATAATTACGTGACCTACAAAAGGAGACTAGACACTCTACTTCACCATTGCTTAGGGTGGGTGCTGGAAAACTGTAACGCACCAGGCAGAGGTAACTGATAGGGCCACTCAACGTGGTAACCAGCTACCTCCCCTCCTCATGTTTTTTTTTGGCATTTCCAAGAGAAGTACAGAAAGAGGGAAGGAAAGGGGAATGTGATTAGCTCTATTTATGCTTTGCCAAACCACTGAGAAAAGGCTTTCCCAGGCGACAGTCAAGCTCAGAATTAAGCACATCATTGAAGCAGGTTCTAGAAAAGTGGTGCCTTGGAGGAACTATATTGACTCCCCAAAGTGTGTTCCATGGTGTGAAAAAGTACATGGAAATGTGTTCTGTGGTCAAAAAAGTGTGGGAAATGCTGAGGTTAGCCAAGTCAGACAGGTTTCTTCACTGAAGGGCTCTCAGTGCCTCTGCTGCATCTCCTGGGTGGGGGAGGGGTGTGGCAGGCAGTGGTTCCCAAACATTTCGGCACAGAACCCTTTGTTCATGGAAAATCACCCAAGTCCGGTTCTCTCTGAGAACTTTGGGAGATGCTTATTTGACTCTAGTAGATTGTACTTTAAAGTTAATATATATATATATATATTTTTTTTTTTAAGTGCAGACCTTTTTTTTTCTGATTATAAAAATAGTACGTATTCATTGTAGAAAATTTGGTAAATAAAGGTATGATGAACAAAATTAAAATCACTCATAATTGTACCATTGGAGATAGCCAGTATTTGGTGTATTTTCTTACAGACCATTGTGTGTGTGTGTGTGTGTGTGTGTGTGTGTGTGTGTGTGTGTATGAGTATATAGAGCTTTGGTGTGGTTTTTTTTTTTTGGTCTTAGATAAAGAACATTTTATTAATTAGAGGAGGATCTTAGTTCCCATGATGGAGTGCATATAGAGTTTTCTTTTAAGCCCTGTTTTGTAAAAACTTTTTGATGTTGGAATAATTTTAGATTTTTTTGTAAAGATGGCACAGAGAATTCCCATATACCTTCACTCTGCCTCTCCTAATGTTAACACTATATAGAGTTTTATATAATGTTAACACTATGTAGAGTTTTATATAAGTTTTTTCTATCTATAAGTAAATTTTCTTCTAACTCTGCATAAAGTTTTTGGATTTTGGGTTTGGTAAAGCATGCCCTCCCTTCTCTCTTCCTAGGTTACTATAACAATAGTACCAAAGTGGCTGTGAAAACCCTGAAACCAGGCACTATGTCTGTGCAAGCATTCCTGGAAGAAGCAAACCTCATGAAGACCCTTCAGCACGACAAGCTGGTGAGGCTCTATGCCGTGGTCACCAAAGAGGAGCCCATCTACATCATCACCGAGTACATGGCCAAGGGTGAGCGCCCCGTGCCCAGCACTGTTAAAGGGCTTAAACCTCCAAAAGGAAAATGCCTAATGTTCAGAGAATACTCAAATAATTTTAATTGTAAAAGAGCATGCTCACTAGCAAAAAACCAGAGACTATGAGAAAACTAAGAATTTTCATAAACCACCTCACTGAGAGTAATCCATGTTATAAAATTAATATATAGTCTTCCTCTTTTCTCTGCATTTGTCTCCATATATGTATTTGCCCAAAAATAGTACCCCATACCTAGTAGACCCCCAATAAATATTTGCCAAATAAATATATATTTCAAATAAGAGTGTTTTTGTTATATATTTAAAATGTGAGTTCTCAAAATTCTAAAACTAGTTCATTTTCCTCTTTAGCATTATCTCAATGTTTAGGGTATCACTTCAAAATGTTAATATTTTAAAAATTTGTTGAGATTGAATTCCTGTGTAATCATAGATTCACTGAAGAAGAGGTTTCAACCCATCATTTTTTCTCCCACTGTTCTTACCTTCGGATAAAGGGGCGTGAATCCCCATCCTTCTCCCGCTAGTTCAGCAGAGATACTAATAAACTGCCAAATGATTTTTTTTTTTAATTTTTATTTATTTATTTTTTTCCTCCAAAGCCCCAGTAGATAGTTGTATGTCATAGTTGCACAGTCTTCTAGTTGCTGTATGTGGGACACGGCCTCAGCATGGCCGGAGAAGCGGTGTGTCGGTGCGTGCCTGGGATCCGAACCCGGGCCGCCAGCAGCGGAGCGTGCACACTTAACCGCTAAGCCACGGGGCCGGCTCCCAAATGATTTTTGGAAAGTCTTCAGAAAGAATGAAGGAAGAAAGGAAAGAAATATTAGCAATAATCCAGGATTAACAATCATCTCATGCTTAATAGAGATTATAGTGTGATGTCATAGTTGAATAGGTTAGAAAGATGAATGTTATATGTTAATATTTGAGAATATTAGTCCTTCCAAAAAAGGACACTGTTTAAAAAAAAAAAAAGACCTAGCCCTTATGGCTTAAGTTGCTATAGCCCAGAAATGAGGCTCAGGGTACATTGTAGGAGTTCAGTAAATACTTGTTGAATTAATTAACCAGGAGTAATCTTAATCATAAATGTGAATATAAGTTTCTCCTGATAACAGTACCTAGCCTTTACTGAGCACCTGCTATATACCAGACTATTCTTGATGCCTTCCCTGGGTGCTCTCACTTAGTCTTTTCAGCAGTCTGAGGACTAAGTACCATTGTTCCGTGTTGTGAATGAGGCAGCAGAACATTGATTGTGAACTTACTACCTGCCGAGCGCCATGGCATGTGCTTTAAATCTGTCCTCCCGAGGACTCTGAGCTGCCAGGACATGCCCACGGTGCAGGGCCTTGGACGAGGTCAGTAACTTGCCCAAGGCTACCCTTGAGTTGCACTTTAAGTTCTAGGGGAAAAGCAGATCTTGTTTTCACGATGAAGCCATAGGAAGCAGCAGTTTGTCTGTGGGCACGTTCCCTTTTAGGTAGGTCTAACTTTTTCCAAAGCACAGTTAGTTCATCAAATACTCATTGAGCACCTGTGGCATGTGTCAGGTTCTGTGCTTTGGCTGGACATGGATGAGAGCAAGCCCAGCCAAGTGCCTGTTCTGGGCAGGCCCACTAGGAGGCCTTGCTGGTGTCTGTGCCAGAGAAGCTCTGAAGATCAGAGAGCTGCAGTAAGTGTATCGCGGTGGCAGGTACAAAGCGCTCTGCAATGCGTTGCTCTCAGACACTTGGAGCAGGAAAAGCAGCGTCCACCACCACCTTTCTTACCTGGAGCACATGTACATTTCACAGCAGGTCAAAGGTAACAGGTTCAAGAGGACTGGGTTTGACCAGCCTCAGGAAAAGGCCCTATGGCCATACAGAATTGCAAAGCCAGTCACTTTGTGGGGTTCCCTCCTCCAACAGCAATGATCATTTAAATTATCTCTGGATTTGTTTCTTGAGTATTCGAGCTACACTAACTTGTTCCTCCTCTATCAACAGGCAGTTTGCTGGATTTCTTGAAGAGTGATGAAGGGGGCAAAGTACTGCTTCCAAAGCTCATCGACTTTTCTGCTCAGGTGAAGTATTAAAAAGCCAGTGCATGTGAGAATGTGCAAAGACCTCCCTGGTGCAGATTCGTGATGAAATTGTTGTTCCAGGGAGAAGGCATTTCCCTCGCTTGTTTCTCAGAGGTGGTTATGAGAAAAAGACCTTCCAAAGTATATACACTTCCCTGGAGATAGTAATGGGTGTTGAATGTGTGTGCCTATGTAGAGTTTTCACTTGGGTGTCCTCTTCCCAAAGACAAGTCAGCCTCTTTATTCTTATATTCGTTTCCACACAAGTGATGGAAACAATGCAGCCGAGTTGATAACTTTGCACTGCATTTTGGAAAAGGAATTCGGCTCAGCGTTAGAACAGCACCTTCTAAATGATGCATATGTGGTATTTAAGTTACTAATCTAATGTACTGATACTTTAAGTCCTTAGTATTCTTGGAAACAGGAACTATATTATTTTCCTATTCTACTCCCTTTCAGTCCTTCTTGTTGGGTGTGTCCTTAGGATTCTGAGAAATATTCATTTATAATATTTCTAGTACTAGCCTAGAAGTTGCAAATTTGTTTACTTTGGAATCACATGTTTCCTGAAGTGTATTTAAGAGCAGAGGGAAGTTACCCAGAAACCCCACAATGTGCCTGGTATATCAAGGAAACACTCATTTGAATGATGCCAGCTACTGACTTTTCATAGTTTCATTGTGTCCATTAGTCATGTTCAGTAATTTGCTTATTTTGTTTCTCAATACTGGCCATGTAAGTAGTTCACGTTGGGAAGACCAGATAAAGCCTGAGGTAGCACAAGAGATTTCCAGAAGTTGTAGGAAAGGGTGGTCTTTATGATCTTCATTTCTTCCCTCAGACCCTCTTAAAAGATAAGGCCTTCCTGGGAAAATGAGATCAGAGGAAGGAATTAGTACACAGGTAAAGTACGTCAAGTAAGATAGGATCAGAACACGTGCTCTGCAGTGGAGGTTGTGGGCAGAGCTGGAGTTGAACATCTGAAGACTCGAGTGCGTCGTGAGTCAGCCCCTCAATAGCCATACCCCTTTCAGAAAGTTGTTTGCCTCTTTGGATTAGTTTATTTGCCTTTCAAATGGGAATGGTAATTCCTACTTTAGGGAGATGCTGGGGGTCAAATCAAACGAATTGTCGTGGACACAAGCACTTCAGAGCCTGGTGGTGAAAGCTGAGGAAACCTTGGGGATGACAGTCCCCATCATTCCAGTAAAGGTGTGTGATGAAGTCATCCTGCTCAGCCCTCACCTCATCTACTAGAACCTGGCGAGCTTAGTAGGTTCCTTATCTGAGTAGGAAATTCAGATGTGATCTGGAACCTCAATCTCTAATATGGAAAGAAGCAAAATTGCTGTAGAGCAACTAGGGGAAGAGAAAGGATCCAACAGTCCTGACTTTTTAACCCTCTCCTCAAACTCTCCAAGCTGGCCCCTGAGAGGCTCTCTGGGACCCCAAGGGTTCCAGGATGACGGTTTGAAAACCAGTGCTCTGCGGTAAGAAGAATGATGATTTGGATGGATGCAGCTCTAGAGCCTGTGTAGATAGGGAGTCAGGAAATGGAGAAAGTAGAAGCCCCATAAACTTGTGTTACACTTGACACGGATAAATGAGGCCCTCTGCTCAGGGCGGTGATTTGGGCAGCCCCTATTGGACAAGAGACTTGAGTGTAGTAAAGGTTTGTCACATCTGCTTCTCAGAAAGGGAAAGGGGCTGATAGGGACATGGGAAAGTGGGACATGTGGCCTGGAGGTCTGAACAGTCGTAGCTGTTCCTGTCTGCCTGAGGGTCTGATCTGTGCCAACAGTTCTGTAGGGTAGAAATTGTGCATCAGGGTGTGTACTACACCTGGGGAAGGATTTTGTTTTGTCAAATGGGTATTTTGTATTTGATTTTGCATAGCTTATCTTATAAAACTTTATCTTGAAATAGACTAAGTTTTTAAGGTCCAATTCAAGGTCTCTTTATCTATTCTCTAATTTAACTTTGTAAATTACTACTATTACTATGAATGGTAACTTTTTCCAACTTGAAAATGAGTTGGGGAAAAAAGTTGCTTTCTGAACCTTTGTAGCTTGCAAGGAAGATTATCCCAGAGCCTGGCATTGACCATGACTTTCAAATTGTAGGTTCCAGGTAGCTTCAGTTGACTCCCCTGTCAGCTGTGATGAGGCTGAGCCCCCCTCGGTGACAGGAGGGGCCGGGGGCAATCAAGGCCATGACCAAACCAGTGTGCCGAATCCAGCTCCTGCTGGATGAGCCCTTGTTTGCCTATCCCAGGGTTTCTTCCCCAGCAGTGACCTTGGGTAGAACTGGTGGAACATCTCAATTAAGTGCACGCGGTGTTGAGTGTCAGGGGGAGAGTCCACAGGCCAGCAACACCCAGGAAGTCCCTAAACGTGTCGGTTCAGCACAAAATTCATGTTCTTTACAACGAAATACCATCTCTTTTTGAGTTCATCTTTGTTCATGGTACAACCTCACCCAGACTCTTCCCCAGTTCCTCCCTCAAGGTGGAGCTCATGGGATCCCCTGTTGCCACATCCTTAATTATCATCTGCTTCCGGCTTTTCTCATTATAATATCGATAACACAAGGAGGGGGTCTGAACCTCGGCACCAAGGAGTGGGGCTTGTAGACCTCAGTCTCAGTCTCAAATCACATACCTTACCCATCCACTCTCTGTTAACCACGCCAGTGCCAGATCCCGCTGTGATACCGTCAATTCCCTTTATGACTGGTACTACCCAGCACTCCTCCTTCTTCTTCATGTACCTTTCTGAAATTGTCTCTCTGTACAAAGAAAGTCATCTCTGAAGTTTTCTCCTTTTCCTCTCCATCACATGCCACCAATTAACTTTGTCAATTTTTCTATAGTGAATAATGTGAGCATAGTAAATATTAATAAAGCTGACCCAAGGTGATAGGAGGATACCTAGTGCCCAGATACTTAGTATTTCAGCCTTTCCTATACTTCTCCTCCACTTGACTATTTAGGGTGGAAATAGGGTAAAGCAGCAGCAGAATTATATAAGTCCATTTGGGATTTGACCTCAAACTAACAATTAGTAGGCTGTAAAATGTGTTTATACTTTCTTCCTTCCATTAGCATTGTCAATAGCATTAAAGAGTTGGGAAATTGAGTGCTCACAAGAGGATGTAGTTAACTTCAGCAGTTTTTCATAGTGAGAGATCGAGAGTAGAAATAAACCAATTTACTTAATCCCAGCCCCAGAAGAGTAAGGGATCAGGGGTGAGGGGCAGTGGTGGGACTTTTCCCATAGTCTCTCATCTGGCCTCTTCTTCCCTGTCCCCGTGACCTACTTCCCCATGCTCTACTGTCCCCTCACCATTCTCCCCATATGCCAGTCGAGACAGGAAGTGGGGCGAGTGCACATGATGGCCTCTCACTTCCTGTGAGAGCTGGGTTCATCACTTCCTGTCTCAGGATGAGTTCTGAAAGGCTCTTCCGAGCCCAGTGTAATCCCCCCTTTCCATTGCCCCTCTCAGCCCTCTTGCCTTCCTCTCCATTTAATGAAGTAAGAAATCCCAACTAAAGCAGCTTTACCCAGGGCTTTTCTTCTTGTGTTAAATGAAGCAATTTTGTGTTTTTTGTGCTGAAATAAGAAAATTACTCCCTTTCAAAGGAAGTTTGATATTTTCAGAGCAGAGACTTTGCATAATTCCCTTCCAGCCTTGCCTCGTGTAAGAGAAGAAAAATGAACTTGGAAAGAGAAGGGGTTGAAATCTGTGGGAATTTTCCTCAGCAGAAGCGGAAATGGAATCGTAGACTTGTAAAACTGAGAGGAAAAAGAAGTGGGAAACTCACAGTTGCAATAGGGAGGTCAGATAAATCATCTTATAATTCAGGCCAAGTGAATCAAAGCATTTCTTGCTCTTTTGTGGCAACATCCTTGAAGTGAAAAAATTACCAAAAATGAAATGGACAACTATGTGTGAGTAAAACTGCGATAAAAACGGAAAAATCAAAGTTGTCATTATAATCATGGCAACAAGTGACATTTCTTTAACTCCTTCTGGTTAATAAAGCAGTTACACATCTATTATCTAATTTGAGCCCAACAACCTTGAAAGCATTTCTGTTGTTACTTAATACATCTTACAAATGAGAAGGTAGCCTTGGACTTATCCAGGTTACAGAGCTAGTAGGTGGAATTTCTAGACTCATTCGTGGGTCTCCTGACTCAGGATAACTGGTTCTTTCCTCTGCACCCCGCTGTCATTCCGTGATCAGAGTTGCTCCTGTGATCATTTTGCACGTGACACTATGCTGATTTGCATTTTTCGCCTTTATGGATTTTGCTTATCAGAATTCATAACTTTAGCTTTTTTCCGAAAAACTCTATTGCTAAGACATAGATGTTTCTGTCATATAGTGATTATGCTCAAATATAGTTTGCCCCCTACTATTAAATTTTAAGCCACATTTTAAGTTGGAAATTGGTAAACTGAAGAAGTAGAAAACCTCAGTCTGTCCATGTAATTCTCAACCTTTCTGAGTAAGACTGCCTTTTGACGTCAGAGTTTTTTGGGTACTTCCTCATTAGAGATCTACTGACTGAGAAATGTATAGATTGGGAATTCCTTGTAGTGACTCTAGGTTGGGCCCCACCAGTCTGTTGGTGGTAAATTCAGTTTGAAGTGTCTGAAGGAGGATGTTCTGGGGAAATTTCTACAGTATTTGTCAATCCCATCAGACATGGGTCTCCTTCTGCCTCTTTGTCAGGAACCTAAAAGATAAGTTAGGTTCTCATTTTCTAGCTCAAGGCTATCCTCCAACCACCCACCCCACAATATCATAGAGAAGCAACTACTTTATTTTCAAAACCTTTATTAATATTAACTCTTGGTTAATAGTGTCCTCACATTTAACTTACTTAAACTGGAGGAAGAATTACACTGAGATGTTGAATCAGATTCAGTGGCAAGTGGAAAGCTTAGGTGACAGACTTGGTTTGCGTTTCTTCCAGGAGGTCAGATCC